TATAAGTATAAAATATTGAAATGAATATATTAAAATTGTTTCAAAATTTGAAATATTTAAATTAAAATTTAAATAAATTCAAATATTTAAATATAAACCTTTCTAAAATTTAAAATATTCAAATTTATACTTTAAAAATAGCCTTCCATCTTTTTTAATTATGACATAGCAGAAAATCATGAAATCATTTAGACGACCAAAATAAAAATAAAATTAAGCACAATATTAAACATTAAGTATAAAATATTCCATCAATATCCATAAAACTTCCAATCACTGCAAAACAGAAGAATTAATCAGCCACCAAAAAATAATTCAACGACCCCCAATTCAAATTCAACTTGACTGTTAAAACTGTCTTACCAAGATTACGAGCGGGACGATAAAGTTTAAGAAACTTCCTCCGCCTGGACTATGTATGCGGCGCTATAAAGAGCTATCCTTTTTTTATTTTCAGACAAAGAAAGGGATTCGTACGTGGTATTCAGCGATTTGACTTTTTACGAGGACGAGGGTTTTATGACTTTCAACCCTCTCACCCCCTCCCCCTCCACCCTCGACCCACCCCAAGAGGTTTCCCCTCTTCAGACGTATACGCGGCGTTTGTTTGTTCCCATCTATTATCGAAAAGGAATTCAAACGGAATCGGTTCGACGGTTATGCCGATTGAATAGTGATCTCCAGATCGCAATTCTTCTTCCAGGGAATAATTTTCTTATCCTCTGTCGAATAAATAAAGTGCTACCCCTTCAACAATTGGGACCGTTGGTTTCAGGTGTAAGTACATTGTCAATAGCATGTTTTGGCACTTTGAATTGACCCAAGAAAACGATTGAATTTCAAATTCAATGTTAAGTATTAATTTTAGTATTATATTGAGTAATATATATTAAATATACTGAATATATTAAATATTGCATATTAAAGGCATTGAATATTGTTTAATAAATATATTAAGTATATTAAATATATTGAATATGAAATATATTGAATATGAAATACATTGAATATTAAACATACTGAATATTGAATATATTGAATATTAAATATATTGTATATTAAATATATTGAATATTAAATGAGTTACATATTACTTATATTGAATATTGAATATATTACACATATGTATTAAACAGTAAATATTAAATATTAAATAATAAATATTAAATATTATATATTAAATATTAAGTATTAAGTAGTAAACATTAATTATATTATTTTATATAATGGATCAACATGGAACAATTCTAATTCGTATTCCTTTTTGTCAGTTGTAGAAGATATCATTGATATTTCATCAGAAAATAATGAATACTTGTTGAATTAATAACATTGAAAACAATATAATAATATATTCTATTTGCGCAATATTTTTACCAAAAATCCCAGTTCTAAATAAACAAATACGTAATAAATACAATCAACATAGTGGCTCAAAATATGAATCCTAACTTTTACAAGCAATCCCTATTTGTTGCGAAATATATTCTCGTCAGCAAATGGTTGATAATATTGAAAACAGCACGAGTCAGATGAATTGGCAGCTAATCAACTGGATTAGTATATATTACATGGTAACAGAAAGCGCACTCTATGGTGAAATTTCATTTAATCATATTCTGCTAGTTGAAGCGATGCTTTGTAGGATTTCTGATTCGTCGAATCTCCTCGGAGCTGTTGTAATCCGAATCATTGTCGTGCTTCGCTGAATTATATTCTGTAATTCAGTTGAACTGGATTCAATCGAATTCGCCACGCTGTCATCTATATTTTCCACTCTTACGCGGAGGCATTGTGTTTACATGCAAATGCGGAAGAAATATTGTATATTAGTACTGCGATATAGGTGCTTATACGTAGTTCAATTTTAAACGGGAAAATACGTAGTACGATCCGGAAACTTGAATATAAATTTTTATTGTGCGACGTAACGAACGTTGGAAAAATTAATAATTCATTTTGTGTTCATGCATGATATTCGTGGTGTTTTGGAATTTTTCTGGCCATCTGATTATGGTATTATAATAATATAATGTATAAATGTATAAATATATAAATATGTAAATATATAAATATATAAATATATAAATATATAAATATATAAATATATAAATATATAAATATATAAATATATAAATGTAGAAATATAGAGATATAGAAATATAGAAATATAGAAATATAGAAATATAGAAATATAGAAATATAGAAATATAGAAATATAGAAATATTGAAATATAAATATAGAATAAGAGTTAATTACACTCGACGCACCCGATAGGAGGATATCCCAGTGTAACGGTTGAAATATTCGATTTTTACCGCATTCAGCTCTTTGAAAGCGAGCTCTAAAATTTCAGAGTGACATTTGACAACATAAACGAAGTTAGGAATCCTTTCGCGTTGCTCGGTAGAAAGCTCTCGAAACTTTGAACGCGTTTTTCGAATCGATTGCCTCAATGTCTCCGAAACTATCATATTGATCGAATCTTTAGAATTGTCTTTGTTACTCATACAACTTGTGAGATTTTTAGAACTGTCTTTGTTATTTAAAGACCTTGACGAATTTTTAAAGTTTTCTTCGTAATTTAAACAAATTATCGAATCTTTAAAATAGTATTTATTATTTAAACAACTTATCGAATCTTTAGAATTGTGTTTGTTACATAAAACCTTGTCAACCTTTCATAATTATCTTGGTTATTTAAAAGCTCTTCAAATTTTTAAAATTGTCTTTGTTACTTGAGAACCTTGACGAATCTTTATACGTAAATTTTAATGATTTATTCACACCTATGCACACACACGTCCCTGCTGCTTTGACGAGCATACACTGGAGATTACTGCACAACGACTTTCCGGAGAATGAACATAATGTGGCGTTTCCTCTAACCTGACTTGGAAGCCAAGTGCCTGCGAGAGGTGGAGAATATAAGCATCCAAGTGATTGAATGAGACAAGCCATGCTACACGTTTATCTAGACACTTGCACATAAGTATGCTTTCAGTCTGCTCTGCTCATGACTGGTGTGCGGATTTTTATATATTTATGAGGAGCTTGTAAGTGCAACATTGTACTGAATGCACACAATAGCAGAAAATATAAGGAACACCAAAAGTCTAGTACTTTTTACAATGTTTTTCTATATATTCTATATATTTTACAGCTCCGCGTACGTTCTAGATATTTATTGTGATTCCATGCATATTTTGGCTGTTTGGAATTATTAACAAAAATTTCAGATGACTGTAACATCAACAATTTTAAGAAATAAA